AGAAATTTTATCAGAAATATTATTTTAAAATAGACATGCTTTGTTTCACCCATCTGCCCAGATAACAAACAAAAGTTAAGTGTAGGTTATAGTGATTGGTTTCTACGTGGCAACCTTTTTGATAGGGCCCTCAACATTCTAAATGCGATCGCTGCTCCAGAAGAATTAGAGACCTCTGCTCTCTATATGCAAATCTCACACAGAGCCCTAGGTTAGATACCACTCTTACTTGGGCTTGCCTTCTTCTGCATCTGTAAGATCCTGCAGCCTCTGAAACCTATCTGACACAACAAGATTTATTTATTTTTATTTATTTATTTGATTTGTCAATTGTTTACAAGATAATAAGTACAAGTGTATACATAGTTGTGAATATATGAAATGGGTACATATAAGAAAAATAAAAGAATAAGAGAAACAATAGGACAGGGACGGTAGGCACGTTGGTGCGCTTATGCACGCCCCCTACAGACCTCTTAGGAAAGGGGTGAGGTCAATAGTAGACAGTCTAAGGTTAAAGTTTTTGGGGTTTGGGGAAGAGACTACAGAGTCGGGTAGGGTATTCCAGACATTGACCACTCTGTTGCTGAAGTCGTATTTCCTGCAATCAAGTTTGGTGCGGTTTACTTTGAGTTTGTATCTGTTGTGTGCTCTTGTGTTGTTATGGTTGAAGCTGAAGTATTCATTGACAGGTAGGACATTGCAATGTATGATTTTATATACCATGCTTAAGTCGGACCGAAGACGGCGTAATTCGAGGTTTTCTAGTTTTAGAATTTCGAGTCTGGTGGCGTAAGGTATTCTATAACGGGTAGAAGAGTGGAGAACTCTTCTTGTGAAATACTTCTGGACTTTCTCAATTGTGTTAATATCACATACGTGATAAGGATTCCAGACTGATGAGCTGTATTCGAGTATTGGTCTAGCAAATGTTTTGTATGCTCTGGTTAGTAGTGAGATATTACCAGAGAAAAAGCAACGTAGGATTAGGTTAACAACTCTTAATGCCTTTTTGGCTATGTAGTTGCAGTGAGCTCTAGCACTTAGATCATTAGAGGTGAGTATTCCCAGGTCCTTTACAGAGCTTGGGTCATCAACAAGATCTTGACTATTCAGTTTGTATTTTATTTTCTGATTTTTTTTACCAATATGTAAGACAGATAGGCCTCATTCATCACAGCAAGGCACCACACAGTGGGAAGCAGAACCTGTCACCTTGCCATTTGTCATGTAGCTCTCAAAATCTCCAATGATGCAATTCAGTAAAAGCTGATGATTTTTGGCCAATAGTTTTACTAAGGAGATTTATCTCCCTATACTGTTATTCACTCTACCAGCATTTAAGACACAACTGGAAAGTGATAAAGAGATACAGCAGTGTCCAACAACCATTAGTTATTCTTGCTCAATAATCTGAAAAAGAAATCTCACTGAAAACTTGTATTTCCATCCCTGGGGAACAGATTTTGGTCTATCCTCCTATACATTTATGAGGCAATTATCTCAATTGTCTACGTATTTATCAATAAAGATTACTCACTTGCAAAATTATTACAAAAGGTTTGGTAAACATACACTAGATGCACACTAAAATCCAATCATATGCTAGACCAAGGGCCTTCAAACTTGGCAAGTTTAAGATTTGTGGACTTCAACTCCCAGAACTCCTGAGCTAACATGACTGGAGGAGGAATTCTGGGAGTTGAAGTCCACAAATCTTAAAGGTGTCAAGTTTGAAGACCCCTGTGATAGAGGCCTAAATAATTATGGCTGGTCTTCAAAGTTCCATTCATCCCAGTACCTCTGTGGTCACGTAGGTGCGTAGCAGTACCTCTGTGGTCAGGGTGCGTAGCAGTACCTCTGTGGTCAGGGTGCGTAGCAGCTGGTGAACACTTACGACATTTGCAGCATCATGCAGTCAGTCATATGACTGCCATTTGCTGGCTTTTCACAAGCAAAAGCAATCAGGAAGCTGGCAGGGAAGGTCACAAACCACTCTCATCCATTTTTCTGTTGAGGAACCCTGCTCTGGAGCATGAGACCCCTTGTGAACCCTCTCACACGTCACAGCCACCCCCTGCTGGCCATGCTTGTGCCATGGTAACCACTGCCTGCCCAACCATTGGCCTGCTTGAAAGCTGCCCAGGATTTATAACTTCGTGCTGGCTACCCCATTGACTTTGCTTGTTGGAAGTTGGTAGCAAGTCACAGTCACATGAGGTCCTTGCTTAACAGCGGCAATGGGACTGCCGGAATTGCTGTTGCTAAGTGATGCAGCCACATGATGTTGTTCTTTATGACTGCATTGCTTAGCCTTGGAAATTATGGTTTCAATTACTATACGTAAGCAAGGACTATGATCATCCATGTAACAATGGCTTTGGAAAAAGTCACCTATGACCTATATTTTCTTTGGTTTGTTGCATGACCGAGGGGGATGCTGCAATTATTGTAAGTGTGAAAAATGGGCCGTAAGTCACTTTTCTTCAGTGACGCTGTAACTTCAAACCATGACTAAATGAACGGTTGTAAGTCGAGGACTACCTGTAAAGTTTTCTGATATAGAAATAGGCCATCTATTAAATATCCCAAATCAATGTTTAAAGTTATGAAAGGACACATACACATGTATACGATATTAGTAGATATAGTAATTCAGCAATTGAACAAAATGAATAGAATAAGTTTGACTAGAAACGATGGTATAAAATTTAGATAATTATTTATTGTGACAAGAGAAGAATCAGATCTGCCTATAATTTCTATCTCTTTTTGAGATGGAGAGATACACAGAGCTACATACAGATATACATTCCATCCTGTCTAACTGGCAGCACATGAAGTCAATAATACTTTGCAGTGGGAAGAACAATAAATAAATGTTTTTATTGCCCAGTATGAATAGAAAATGAAAGCAGAGGCAGTACTTCATAGATTTCTGCCCTGCCTCCCCCAAAGATCCAGATTTTTTTTCTTTTAAACAATTTTATTCACTCAGCTGGGACTTGTACCATCCTCACATGCATAAGGGAGAGATAATGTTATGAATCACCAACAATTTGTCTAGCTATGATACAGATAATCATATTTCCAAAGTCCACCTTAAGCTAGCAGCTTCTCAGCCTTTTGTTCAAAAAGATGAGCAAAAAGAGGCAAATCCTTGGGGAGGCTTTGCTTATGCATTTTTTATTTATTAGCAATATGTAAAATGGAGAAATTCATTTCCCAAATGTTCCATTTTCTCCCTTGATCCAAGCATATGGGAGTTATTCATAACATTTGTAGATATATATTTTGGAATGGGAAGTAATTATAGTATTTTGGACAGTCTGACCCTGCAAGATAAAATTTAAATGCATGAACCATACCAGAATGCTTGGATTGGCCTGTTCTGCAGAAGAAATGGAACATCCGGGAGGGGAGGGGGGGAGGACAAGGAGGGAATAATGTCCCAGAAACAAATGGCATAGTGTTTCTTAGGACTGTGCAACACTTTGTATTTGAAGGCAAAAAGGGCTAGCTTCCACCATTTAAACCAAAGATATCTTCTCTTGTAAAATAGCCATGTAATCCTGGAAAAGGGAATATTTTGTTTAAGGAATATCATGTAGTTAGTAAAAGTATGCCCCCAAACATTCAGAAACCTTTAATCATTATATGTGATAATTAATTATCACAATGAAGGTACCACCTTGTACTTGTACTTGATTTTAGCAAAAAGAATACCCTCAAGCAGCTAAGCAAGATCATCGGAAACACCCCGGAGTAGAGCTTTGAAAAAGTATCAATTCTCCAGCTCTGAATGCCTGACTTATCACTTTCGTTCTCTTTCTAGAAAAACTACTGAAGAAGTGGTTGTCCCATTTTCAATTCCCCCTTACTAGTGCACTTTAGTTTCAGCTCTATTTGCAAAACAAATCCTTCTTTTCAACATTGTTTTCCTATATTTATACCTTTAAGCTCTTGTTTAGAAGAAATGGTGTCTTGGCAGTATATTTCTTCCAAATGCCTTCCAACGTCTACCACTTCATCCCAATTTTAAGCAAGTATAAGGTCTGAAAATTTTGCCTTCTCAAGTAATTGAAGAGGAAAGCAAGAAAGAATTTTGCATCTCTGAATTCAAAAGAATTTAATCTCAATCTTTTCTCTGTTCACCAGCTCTATTTGCAACTGGCTTCCATCACAATGCCTCTGAACTGACTCAGTTTGCTCTGGCTTCCATCTGTCATCTCTCCTTTCCCCCTCTTCTGATCAGTATGTTTTCATTTTTCCCTTATCTTGCTACCCCACCAATTCAAAAGTTCTGGATTAGAAATCAACCATAAATTGTCCTGATGACATTTGATAGATCTTCTCATGTTCTTAGTGAACGCATCTCAAGTCATAAGAAAGAAACAACCATATCTGTAGGCATTCCAGCTTAAACTACATTCATGCTTCACATCTGAATTTCAGATATAATCAGCAGCTGTTATAATTTTAATAAGATATTTGATAACCTTAAAAATTAAAATGGTATCCATTTTCATCCAGGTGCCAAAGTCCTGCTATTATATCACCTTATGAAATGTACCTGATTATCTACCTTAAAAAACACATATTGGAAAACAATATATATCTTTTCTATATGTATAAACAATACAGCTAGACAACAGTGAGAGAGAACCATGAAGATATTGCCTAAATATATCACCTTGCAACAATTAACTGTATGTATTAATATTATCAACAAGAACATGTTTAAATCTGTATCCTTGAAGCAACTGGTACCCTCACTTACATGTGCTGGGAATTGTATTCCAATATGTTTCCAGGAAACCAGTTTGGGGAATATTACCATAAAGCAACATTCCACTGCTGCAAAATTCATGTATATGTTGCCATTGCTGAAAACATTTAAAATATTTCCTTTACTGATATATCAACAGCCTTACCAACAGTTATTATTCTACTAAATATGAATCTACAAAAATACACACTAAAAATGTAACACGCTGTACCTTTCTTGTCATCACCAGCAGCAACCTCAGCCAAGTAACGGTAGTAGTCCCCTTTCATTTTCAAATAGAAAACTTTGCTTTCTGCTTGGGAAGCATTAGGAATCAAAAACTTTTCCAACAGAGACTGCAATTAAGAAAAAAAAATAGTCAGAAGGGTTTACATACAGGGAACTTTTAGTATATTATAAACTATTAAAATTGGCTAAACTCTTATAAAAGTTTTTTTTTATTAGTGCTATAGAAAATCAAACTACTGCACTTATATAATGTACTAATGTTAGAAATAAACATAAAAGGTCTACTCTTTTAAAAACTAGCTCATCTGAATATGCATACTGATATTTAGCATATGTGGCCCCAAATAAAATAGAATCAAACTCATTTGGCTCCATTTGCTTTTGAAAGTTACAGAAAGTAAATAGCTACTAGAAGATTCAATAGCTTTGTGTGTCGCATCTCACTGTTCTAATAAGGCATAATCTTTAATATAAAGTGACTGATGTTTATACAAAGCATTTAAGTACATAGCATTTAAATTTATATAAAGCGTTTGTTGCTAGTCTTTTAGTACATAAAGATATTGTCAAAATGAATAAATACTTTTAGTGATTTCATTTACTATTCTCCATATTTAGATGGATTTTCATAACTTTTAAAACACCCAAATAACCTAATTAGTACTCTTACTTTAGAAACTTTATATACATTCATTCAGAGATTTCAGGATAGCTTATAATACTAATAAAAACAACTTAGAAAAAATGCATCAAGCTGTATGCACACATGCATGCATGTCTGGATACCTCATTCTGTTTCCTACCTTAAGAAACTTATGAAATAATAACTGTGAGATAAAAAAAGATCAAATAAATAAGCAAATAAACAAACTACCCACTTACCGATTCCATTAGTTAAAGAAACTATCAGAAAATGAACCTGCTCAGCTTTTCTAGTAAGGCTTCAATCTAATGCTAATGCTCAATTCAACTAGAGAAGCAGATATCTGGCTGCTAAACGTGAAATTAATTTTGTCTGCCTATATGAGCAAATCATTTAATCATTACCGCATATACGGATGAGATTCTAACAGAAAAACAGCTCCCGTGTGACCACTGTAAGATTACATATCAATAAATTAAGGTCAAAACATTCAATAGTAACAAATATATTGACGAAAAATCTCCCAACTTAATAGTTAATATAAATCCATGTCACAATAATAATAGACCAACTATTTATTTTTGCCTTATTGTTAACATGTAAGTCAAGGTCATGAACATATCCAACACAACTTCCTATTTTCCCCACAACAACTGAGTGAGGTGCGATGGGCTGAAAAAGAGAGGCCAGGTCACCCAGCTGCCTTTCATGGCTAAAGTAAGATTTAAACTCAGTCTCTCACTTTGTAGCTTGGTACCTTAACCACTAGACCAAACTGGATCAAATCAACATATATCAAAACTATATAGATTTTGCGTTAAACAATAATAAACAAGCTACTACGTATTCTTTCAGATGTTTAGCATTAAAACAGAAGACATTTTACACTAATCCTGGTCAGCAATAAAGTAATGAATTAAAAAAAAACATGTTTCAATACCAATGACAGAATATCATACTGTACTTCCAAAAAACTATTACTGAACTACAGATTGCAAAAAAATATGTATAATTAAATATAATTTTAATTGATATACTGGATGTCCACTGAAATTGGGAAGTTACTCTTAGTAGCTATTGCAAAAGGTTCCAAACCGTTTGGAGGTTATGCCCACAAAAATATTGCAACAGAAGGAGCCTCAGTAAATATTCTACCCAAATTGTACTAGCAAAATAGAAAAAAAAATACAATGACCAACGAATAGGAAGAGGTCAATCTGCATTCCAATACAAAAAAAAAAGAGTCTTAATAGTATGTGAACTATTGCACAATGTACTTAATATTATATACTAGCCAAATAATGCTTACGATCATCCACTGTAGATTAGAGTCCAAAGTGGAAAAAGAGATGCCAGATGTTCAACCTGGTTTTAGCAAAGGCCAAGGAGCACAACACATTATTGCTGATGTACACTGGATAATTGAGAAAAGCAAAGAATACAAAAAATTGGTACTGTATTGTCATTTTGTGCTTTTATTGATTACAAAGGTATTTGATTCTGTGAACCACGTCAAACTGCTCAGAAAAATGGGAACCCGGGGTATCCTATTGTTTTCTTCTGAAACCTAGCCAGAACATGGAGAAATAGGATGACTACAGGTTGTCAAAGGAATAAGGCAAAGCTCATTGTCTCCCCTTGTTTAGTTAACCTACCTGCTGAATATATATTAAGGGAAGGTAAATTGGAAAAACCTGAATGTGTTTTGAAACTGGAGGAAGAAACATCAAGAGTCTGCACTATACAGATGATGCCTCTTTTGAAAGCTAAAAATGCAAAGGATTGCAGAAGGATCTAGTAAGAAAAGTGAAGTAGTGCAGTTAAAAACATGGGGCTAAAATGAAATATAAAGACCAAATAATAACATCAGGTACACCAAGCCTCAGAATTGGCAATAAAGATACAGAAGTGGTGGATAGCTTCTGCCTTTCAGGATCAACCATAAACACTAAAACAAAACAAAATGAACAAAAAAAACCCAAACAAACAAGAAATACACCAGAGTAGCACTTCACAAAGCAACAAGTCTTGGAAAATATATTCAACGGCCATGATATTTCTATACTTGGAAATAGCAGGTGAATGCAAGCAAAGGTATACTTTGTGACATTTTGTGGAAGCAGAAATTGGACTTTGAATAAGCAGATTAGGAAGAATATTGATGTTTATGAATTTTGGTATTGGAAAAGACTTCTGAAAATACTGTGAACAGCCAAGAAAATAAACAAATGGATCACTGAACAAATCAACCCAGAGTTCTCACTCAAGCCACAAATGACTAGGCTCAAATTTCCCTACTTTGGACAAAGTATGTAAAGACCTAGCTCTCTGGAAAAAGTTCTGGGAAAGGAGAAAAGAAAGGAAAGGAAAGGAAAGTTGACTAAGAGCAAGGTAGTTACTCTTGAAAGACCAGGTTAGGCCAGATTGTTATGGGGTAAACAGAATCAACAATAATCTGATGGCAGATGATAACAGTTACTTTCATAAGCACACGAGATCATTTTGGCATCTTAGTTCAAAATAATAAGTAGAAAAAATCAAACAGATCTTTATAGAGTAAATAAAAATTCTGGAGGCTGCAAATTTAAAGATAAACGACCAGAAATTTCATACAAAGAATAAGACTGGTAAAGAATAGCTGTTGCTTTCTATTCATCTTCAGTACAAAAATAAAGATAGTGGCAGAGAAGAGAAATCTCCATTCTGCAAATCATCTTGCAGCCCCAATAGGCTAGCAATTTTTTTAAAAATAGCCCAATAACTTTAATATTAAGAATGTTATTTAAGAAGTTAAACTGACTAGCTTTTATTAGAGGGGAGAGAATAATTTAAAGGCAATCTCACATTATAAAGACTGAATATTATAGGATTTATTAATTCTATTAAGTTTTAAACTTTATATTATCTGACTCCAGCAGAGAAAAAGTGTTATTCAGCTGCTTAACAAGCAGTCAATTCTGTTACCTGTTTAAAAAAGGAAGCACATGTAAAAAAGGGTTACTGGAATCTGGTCTATGTAGCAGAAAGAAAAGGAGCAGCTAGCATGGATACTGACAGAGCGAAACTGGAACAAAGGGGATAAGTTCAGCTTTCTTCTGGACACCAATATCTGTTGCCTGTATCTGTAAAAACAACTCTATGCACTTTCTATCTGCAGAATCAAAACCACTGAAATTATCATGAACATTGATCATATATAATGAACTCATACATAAATATATCAGCACTAACTATTAGAGAGCAGCACTTCTTGCGGATGCCACTGTAAAAAAAATATGCCTCTGTTGCCCAACATTATCCAATCATAAGAAACTACACTAGGAAAAATTATCCCTGGCAGTAAAATTATCAAATAACATGCGACTGGTATGAAAAAAAACAGGTGATGGTATTGCAGCTGTATGGTCATCTAACTTTTCCACTGCCAGTAATCTTCCCTTTATAACATATTTTTCACCAAACCTCTTTCCCTCCTTCCCATTTTTATGGGAAAATATATACTTGGAACCTAGCTATGGCAAAACTGCCAAGGAATAAATCAAAGTGATATATAACATTTTATCCCTAATCTCTCTTCCATGTGCATGTTTGAAATCTCTTTTGCCACCAAAAGTTCATTTGTTCACTATGGCACATTCACATAAATTGGATGAGATGCTTATGGTACTAAGAGAGCTTCAATTGATAGGCCATTTTCTTACAAATAATATGAAAGATAGGGAGAGGATGTAATTCATAATGACAAATAAGCCATGAAATTTGTGACTATAGTTCAAGAATCTTCTCTCTACCATTCTCTTTGATGCTGGCAACATTAACATGTTTTGGAATTTTATACTTTCTAATGCCAACAATGGCATTTTAACATATACTATATTTTCATGAAGTGAAGACTTTCTTTCCTATCACTGTATACTTATTAATATGCTCTTCTTTCAATAATTCTATGTTCTCGATGATAGAGTAGTACTTTTTACTATAGTAAAAAGTGTTAAGGCTAGTTTAAGCTTGCAGCTTTGTCCATGTATTCACCAAATCCCAAAATGCAACAACTCTGGCTGAAATGCTTGCTGTCACTACTCATGTTTCCCCCCCTGAAATCACACTATTTCCTCAAAAACGAATCTGAGCCATAGAAGGCAGAATATGTAGACAGAGATGCATAACACTTCAGAATCACATGTGGTAGCCAGAAATTTATTTTCTATGGTTACAATATTGATAGTTTCTTATTTATATAAATTAAAAACAAAAACAGAGTAACATAAATTAGATAATTTAGTTTTTAAATACAATTATAAGTTAAATGTGTGATATATATTTATATTATACATAGTTTGATTTTAGAGATTTTATTCAGAACTTAGTTCCTAGTCCTACCACTACTAAGTTGACCCATTATATAATTATATTGCAAGTTTAGATTATTTCCCCCTCAGACAAATAAATTGTAGATGAAGAACTTGGTTCCAATAAATTCACTTTCTATTTAAGATTCTTTGTTGGCCTATTATGATGAAGGAAGAAACTAATTTTTAATATTCAGTTTCTCATATGCAGATGCTTATAATGAGCATTAAAATCAACTGGGATTTCAGTAATTATACTACTGATGAATTGCACTAATGTTCTACTTCCCTTTTGATGAAATCACTTGTTCCAAAGTGACTCACTAAGAGCAATGTAGCCATAAGTAATAGTGAACAATCCCCCCTATACTGCTCTTTCTAAATACATCAAGCCAACTGTAAACTGTATATTACTTAGATGAATTCTTCAATTTTATTCCATTAGAATATTCTGAAGGACTTACATTTAATCAATTAGCATTACTGGTTTCTCATAGAAAATTACAGATGAAAGAATATGATAACTTTAGTGAAGAACTTGGAAATCTTAAGTGTTCTGAAATGTGTTCATTCTGACAAATTCATTTGTTTTAAAAGTCTGACATCTTGCAACTTCCTAAGCCTTAGCGCTACTGATTTCCAACTCAATGAAACTGGAATGAGGGATGACTCTTCATATGCATTTGCAGGTTACTGAGGTTTCTAGAATTTTGAAATGTTTTCTTCACAGAACCAGTTCTTGAAGTCAAAGCTTATCCCTAATCCTGCTAAAAATATATATTTTTAAGGCTGTTTTTTTTACATTTGGGAGGAAATTCATTCCAGTGTAAGGATTCAGTTTTTTATGATGGTAAAATTAACCTTACTTACAATAGATCTCAACTGCCACCTTGACTTCCTGAATTTATTACCGATTAAGAATATTATTTTCTACGTCATAGCAATGCTTCTCCATTGATAACTACATGAAAAACACACTTATGAATTAGAAACTTCTATATAGTGATTTCATTGGAATATTTTTTCAACTTTTCATTTATTTGCATTTCTAAAAATGAAATTATCACTACATGTAATAAAAGCCTATAGCAGAAACATCCTTTTTGTTTATTAGTTAGGAGTTTTTCATCTGGAATTCACTTCAAACAAACCATGCAGACTTGTCAATCTTTGGTGACATTATGAATAGTGTGTGGAAACTATAATTTAATAAAATAAGATACTGGATTGAAAAACTTAGTTGATTTGTGACAATTACCTCACAAGCTTATTTGCAAAACTTTAGAATTTTTGCTCTCTGAATAAAGAAAAGTAACCAATGGTAGTGTGAGCAGAGATGGTTCCTACAATTTATCTTTTTGTTTAAATGTTATCTGATATAGTTTAATTAGCAGAGCTAGGTTTTCATTTTGAAATCTGGATCTAAATGCTTGGAAAAAATGTAAATGAAGCCATTTCAATGAAATTGCCTAATAATTTCAGGTTTAAAAACAAGGTACCTCAAATTTCAATATACAAACATATGTACACGAATCCACACATGCGCACACATGCACTAACTCAACGATTCTGGAAGGTTCACAATGTATAAAACACAAAAGTTTGACAATATTCAACCAAATAATTCAGTGATCAATGTTTTAGGATAAGTCTTGTTTTCTATTTTTAATAGATACAGGCTTTAGAAAAGTAAGTTTTTTTCAGAAACTTTTCTGTACTATATTTATCATTGATTGTGCTGCCAGGATGATGGAAATTGAAGTCAAAGCACTTAGAAGGCTTCAGACTAATCCCTGGTTTCTAGCCATTCCCAAAACCAAATGTGCCAAGTGGAATTAGATATATTCAAGCAAGACAAAACCCTTCACAGTATTGCTTAGCATTTTATAAAAGTATGACCAGAAATCCACAAAATTTGCTCTGAAATCACAAATATGTTACTTAAATCAATTTTAAGATCAATTACATCACTGACAAGAGAGGCAAATCATTCAGTCTTAATTATTCTTCTCTATGCCAGGAAGTAGTTTGGAACAGCTAGTTTGGAACTGTATGGAACTATTGATTGGGAGCTAAATAGTTTTACCTAAACTTAGCCAAGGCAAAATTTGTGATCACCAGGATCTTAACCTTCCTTTCAGCATAGACCTATGTATTTTACTTGAAGCAAAGGGCTTCCAGTTATGCAAAATCGTAGTAAAACAAAGTCAGGGAAAGACAAATTGAGTTACAAATAATTAAGCAAGATTCAATGCTAATATTGTTTACAGATGTCTACCAACAGTTTGTGCTATATCCGACAGGTACTATACAGTATTTTCTAATTCTAACACTAAAAAAAACCCCACCCCTACCTTGTTATGACCTTGTAATTCCTTAATTTGGGGCAGAGTTGGGGCGAATGGATGGAGTATTTTCCAACATTAAATTTCAGCAATAAATCTAATGCTGTTTAGGGCTGGAATAGGGATATTAACTCTTCATAAGGTTGAGGATAACCTCTATTCCTGAGACTATGAAGTAGTGGCTGGGGCTCTTCATTACAACATTAGCTACCATCAAATATGTATTGCTAAACCCCATAATTCCATGCCAGTGTAATTGTGGGAACTGACATAAGTGTAGCCTCACAGCCTATGAGATAAAAGGGGAATCTGGAATTGTGTTCAACTCATGCATTAATTATTTTAATTAATCTCCCTGGTTTGCATGAGTTAGTCTCCATGTCATCCTCCCAGAATGATCCCATTGAAAAGAATCTCTATATAAAATAAGGGATAAACCATAAAATATTGTCCCGTCTATTTCATGTTTGCATATGTGATTCTTTAAAAAAATATAGTTTACAACCTGGGACACAAAGAGGACAAAACATAGTACAGAGAAGGTAATTCTTCTTTAAGTTCAACCACAGCTCACATTCCAGAATAAAGTCATTCACTTTTGAGAGAGAAAGTAAAAGCAAAATATTATCTTCAACACTCCTTTTAGCAAATAAAAAACAAAAAATCTTGATGGAGAGACTTTTTTTTTTTTTTTTACTAAAGACCTAGACGCTACATTCAATTCAGGTGAAAAGAGTTTAAAACAAGGACTGGCATTTTTTTTTAAATTTATCCATGGAAATAATCTTGGTGATAAGTGGCAGAGGGGACAACGAATGGGAAAGAAAAGGTCTGAATTTGTCATCATATATTCCCTGTGTGCTATATCTTGTTCCCCCTTCAAGCATCCAAAAATGAATAAATGCTATACTGCCAATGTAAAAGAAACGAAAACTTTCTTTTCAACCTCTTGATATAAGAATTCTACTTAAATAGTGCCTATCATATAACAATAAAAATGCCCCAATTGCACATACACATAAAAATTGTTCCTCCTAGGAATAAATAATCACTGAAAGACCCTGAACATGTATTAATCATATCAACTGTCTTCTGGGTCATATCCTTTATAAAATGAGATTACCGAAAGCTATAGGACCAGTAAATTTAATACTTAGCTGATGAGCTACTTTCTAGGTTTACTGTTCTACAAAAACGGGATTCTTGATTTAGTTTACAATTCAAATTATCCAAATAAGCAGTTTCCCTCCCTAATTTATAACTAGAAATTCATAAGGTTTGCCATCAGTTGAAAGTGTTGTAATAATCTGGGTGAACCAATTTATGACATCTGATGAAAAATGAGAATAAAGCTTTGTATTATAGTGGAAAAGTAATTTAAATATTGAGGGTTTTATAAGCTAACAAATACAACATCATCTGCTGTACTGCATTAAACAGTGTTTTAAAAAAAGGAAAATTTATTTTTGCTATAGTTAAATAAAATTCGCTTGGAGATTAACTGGCTAAAATACTATTTCATATATGTTCTACCTCTCCTGTGATTATCACTCTTATTTTCTTGAGGCTTTTACATGGAGAAAATCCAAGGTAAATGAATGACCTTCAAATTAGTATACTTAAAATATGGCTTTTGGACACACCTAAACAATATATTAAGATGCATATTAATTGTGCTAATATGATTGATTCAATGCATTAAAGGAAATTTCTTACTGAAATATACCCAATGTCAAATATTTCATTTTTTTCATGTTAACACACAATAAATGGTTGGTTTACCAAAAAATAAAACTTAAAAAAACACATCTGGTATTGCTGGTATTTTTTAATCCGTACAATCACATTTAGGATCCAATGTTGCAGTTACAGAAAACTTGGTTGGATCTTACAGTCTAAAGTAGACTTTGAATGTTCCTGCTTTCTCTTTCCCCTTTTTAAAAGTGCTCTATAGGGGTGAGTCATTGCTAACATTACATCATCTTATTTAGGGAGGGGCCTGATTTCTGTAGTGAAAATTACAACTTCTCATACAAAGCATATATCCTCTAGACTACACAGATTAAGATACCTTATAAAAGTAGATTGAAATATTTTACTTTTCCAAAGTACTAACTGATCAAACATTTTCCATTTACCTTGAGTAAATTGTAAATTATTTGAACACTGATACTGTCAGCAAGACTTAACATGTTACTGCAATATCTAAATAACAAGGTAAATTTTCAGGTATAAGATTTAAGAAAAAGGAAAGTTATTCTACTGTCTGATTTTCTATAGATTTATACAGTACAACAGATTTATAAGAGATTAAAAAAGAACACATGTGGGAGCTTGCCTAAAGGAGAGTTTAGCCACTGTTAAATGTTAAGAAGAAAATGAATTCTTACCAACACATCATTACAGATGTCCCTTAGTTCAGTCTCAATTTTCTCTCTGTATTCTCGAGCCATTTGCTGCTTTTTCTCAGCACCTTCTGTCTTTTGTTCAATACTTGAGACAACTCTCCAAGATGACCTTCTTGCTCCTACAACATTTTTGTAAGCGACAGAGAGAAGATTCCTCTCCTCATTGGATAATTCTGCTCCTTGCTCAGTCACAGACTTCATGCAGGCTGCCATATCATCATATCTCTCAGCCTGCTCGGCCAGTTTGGCCTTCTGCACCAGCTCGTTTTTATCCATGCTGATTTCTCTACAGAATGAAAAATATCAACATATTATCAAATATCTACCAAACAAAAGCATTTGGCATTTACTTTGTCTCTTAGCAAGGGCATGAGCAGATTGTTTAGGCTCCGATCTTGTATGCATGAAAAACACATGTAACCGAATTTGATTAATCCAAAATGAGTATAATAAGATTGCAAACTGAGTTACTATAATTTTGTCAGAACAGGAAGAAAATACAATCATTTTCTATTCATTAAATCTAGAAATAATTTGGATCTCTGTAATTTTATAAGATCTCCAAACATGGAATGCAAAGCATTCCCTTGAAAGCTTCAACCTTCTATCCCTAGATGATCCTGACTCTTTATTTCAAGCAGCTTTGCTATTTTGAGACATCCATTTTGGAAGTTTGCAATGTTAGGAATTTCACTGGACAAAGTCAATTCTTTTTCAAATGAAACTCAAGTTACAGGCAGTATCAGCTTCTTTACACTCTTACCACCTTATACACAATTAAGACATTTTTGATTATTTATACTTAAATTTAAAAGCATTAAATGTAACTATTATATAGCTAAATCAAACAGATTTCAAACTAGATGTTCAGATCAAAGCTATTACATTGGACAAAACTCGGATGTATTTAAATATCCTAGGATGAAGTGCTACAATCTTTGACCCACATTAACAAACAGTGCTGCTCAGGTTCGAAAAACTTGTGATTGTAATCTATCACAATCTTAGTATTTCAAAGAATCATTATAACTCCTGTATTTTCTTATATTTAATGGCAGAGAATTCTAAAACGGGAAAATAATATTTAAAATTCAAGCGGCTCGGTGCCTCACGGTAGCTCACTTGGAAGGGATGGTCGCGTACTTCTGCTTTTTAAGTGAAAGGGAACAAGTTGTGTGTGCGCGGGGTGGGGGTACAAAACGGAGCAATTCCCTGTTGGGGAGACGCCGCCGCCGCCGCCGCGAACCGACTGTATAAAATGGGGCTGCTCATGTGGCCACGGGTGGGTTGCTGCATTGGCACAGCTCGGAAGGAGACCGAACGGCGAAGGCTTAAGCGCACAAAAAAAAAAAGAAAAAACCAACAAGAAAAAAGCCACCCGAATCCGACCGAGATGTGGGCGAGGAGGAAGAGGACAAGATAAGCCAGGCCAGACTTTGGTCGCTCGGTCGCTCGCTCCTCCCTGCGCCGCAACCGCCCGCCCGGCTCTCAAGACGTGAAGCGCCTTGTCTGGGCTCTTTGTCATGGCGGATTCGTGTCAGAGCCCAGCCCACTTCTGTGCACGTTAATTCCCCCTCACCTCCGCCCCGCGCCGGGAGGGAGATGCAGCATCTCCGCCCCTGCAAAACCGAAGAAAAGGGGAAGCCCAGGCGGCGCCAAACAGCGGGAGGACGAGGAGACACGCCCGCCCACCTGCCTTCCTGCCTCGCTCCTTCTCTGCCCTGCGGCGCCATCCCGCCCCAAGGGGGGCCTCTGGTACGGCCGCGATGAGCCGCCGCTCCAGCCCACCACCTTCTCCCCCGCCCGGAGAGGAGGAGGAGGCGGCTGTTCCTTTCACGGCGGCCCCGCGGATCTTTTTATGCGGCGACGAGCCGCGGTTCGCGCCGGTCGGATGCGCCTCTTCCCCGCGGGAGGCCACACCCTAGAAGCCACCCTGCAGTCAACTCCGGGCCGGGAAGAAGGAGAAGGCCCCCCGCCTCCCGAGGGAAGAGATGCGGGGAGGAATAGAGAAGCCACCCGAGTCCCCAACATGGCGCCCTCACAGGGCACTCCTCGTTTTACGCCTTCCGCCGCCCTCATGGAGAGGTTGCTCGACACCCCCAATTCCCTTCCCTTCCCCATCGCCCGGCACGGCGAGAAGAAAGGGGGAGCCGGGCGGGCGAAGGGCCGCGGCTCCTTCCCAACGCCGACCCCCCGCCCGCCCGCTCCAACGCGATAATCACCCCAGCGCTCCGGATGCGTGGAGAAAGGGGCACCGCCCCACGGCTTCACCTGCCACCGCCTAGCTCCGGGCAGAGGGGCTCCCTCCCAAAGCCGCGCTACTTCCTCCCGCTCCGCACAAGGGGAGGCGCGGGAGGCTGCCCAGGCAGGTGGGGCCGGCCGCACCTGTGCGAGGGCTGAAGGAGAGGAGGCTCCCGCCGCCGCCGCCGCCAGAGAATGAATGGCTCTTTCCCCAGCAAGGCCGCTCGGACGAGTCAGCCCGGCGGAGGGCCGGGAGCCGCCGCCCTTCTGCCCCAGGAAGAATGGGGCCGGCGAGCCACCGCCTTGCCCTCGCCTTCCCTTTTCCTCCCTTGCGGTCTTCTCCTGTGCCCACTCAGCGGCTCCCGCTGCTGCCCCACCTACGGTTTCCGCAGCAAGAAAGACGGGAGATCGCAAGGGAAGGGCGCCGAAGAGGGGTCCTGTATAGGCCGTTACCTGCGAGGTTGAGGGGTACCGGAGTCTCTAGGCTGGTGGACCGGCGCCGACTGTGCCTATACCGGAGCTCGCTCCGCTGCAGCCTCGCTCTCGCTCTCTCAGCGCCACACACAGGGTCTCCGCCAATCACCGCGTCGCAACGCACGGGCAACACAGAGCCATGACGTCAAACGGCACCATGGCAACCGCGCGCGGGCACGCGCCTGCGCCTACACTTTCCATCTCTCCTCCGACCCACCCCGCGGTTTTCTCTCCCTTCGCTTCTCGTCCCTGCCAATGCCATGGCTGCTCTTAATCTAACCGCCGGCGGCGGCGCGCGCTCGTTCGCGCGGCGTATCGGCCACGCCTTAACCCTGCTGTTACGCTGTCCCGACCACGGGGGGACGCGCGTATGCGCGCTCAAGATTCCACCGCCGCCCCCCCACCCCACCTCTCAGTCTACCGCAGAGCGTGTTCGCACGCGCATGCGACAGGGCCGCGCCTCTTCCCGGCGCAGCCGGCAGGTCAGCTCCTGAGCGGGTTAGAGAAGGGCGACGGGGCTCCGCTCTTGTCTTTTTTTTCCCGAGCTCGTAATCGCTACGTTACCGGCTTTGCCTATGCCTTATATTTTGATAGTGGAGGCAAAGTGAGCCCTCGCGCCGGGAGGCGGCAGAAACGCCCGACGCCTCCTTTCCCCTCAGACGCGCGCATGGCCACCGCTCGACTCTTTTTCCGGGTTTCCAGTCTTGGAGGCCTTGAGCCAAGTCTCAGTCATTCAAGGCCACAGAGGAAGTACTCTCGGGTCCCTTTTCAGTGGTTTGCTATGTTTGCTACACGTGTGAAAGGACAGGGGTTAAAAAACGTGCGGCCGTAGCGGGAGGTTCAGGCCCAACGCTGCGATCCGCTTTACTTTTTAAAATTAAGCTGTGGAGCCATCTTGGGAAATGTACCGATCCCAGCATAGTATAGTGACCAAATACAAAAGGTGACCTTGGCCGCCTTCACTTGTTTTTTCAGTCTTTTATTATGTGGTCTATATGAAGTTGACCCAAAGGGTTTGGTATTCGTTGATGTGTGTCTGAATATTAAAGTTCCAGTTTAAACTGCAGTGTTTTGAAGAAATCACTAAAATATACTAAAATGCACTTTTTATGTCATTTTTCTGATATGTAGAAAACTAAAGGAAATAATGCTTTTGAATTCCATAAGTAAAAATACTTTATATTTGAGAAGCAATCCACATTTGTACTGCACAAATCTAAACTGTAATTCATGCTGCCATATAAATGATTAAAAATGTGTATAATGCACTAATCTTTTGTTAATTACCTCAGAGGATTTAAAAATGTTGAAGTGATGTAAATGGTAACAAAATGGAAAAAGTAAGAAAAAAAAATGGACAGAAGTACAAATTAAACTTAATTTTAAGAAAAGAATACCTGAAGTGGGCTACAGCTTTCCAAATGGATTCTTGTACACTTGTTATCAGTTGTGAGATAGATCTGTTAAAAATGTCATAAACCTTTGAAAACAGATATTTGTTATCCCCTAATTCATTTGATGACAAAAGAGTGTATGCAAGCAAGACATAGCTGGGTTAACCAAGAATTTAAAAATATCACATTTAAAGGGCCCTCATTGAAAAAGCTGCCACATATAATACGGTATCAGGATAGTCATTTGAAATTATCATTAAGCTTGATTATGTGGATTTATGAAGGTGTTCATACTTCTTAATGTGTACAGCAAATACTCCAACCTGACTCTGTCCATATTTGTTGAAATTCAGTTCCCAGAATTACTAGCCAATGCAACCAACATGCCTGAAGACCAAGATTGGTCAAAACTCTGTCTTGTAGAAATAAATTTTGTAATTTTATTTCATTTCTAGGTTCAGCTGGCACCCGGGTACTTTGAATACAATAAGACCATTTTAGTTTTCAAACATGTCAATATTTGGTTTCCATTTCAATCCTGGATAAATGTTTAAAGTAGAAAATATTGATTTAATAAATTGCCAAAAATTTGGGAGAGGGATTTGGGGACTTTCAAGTCTGGCATTGTGTTTCTTATTCCATGAAGATAGTATTAAAATGATATTTGCTTAAAAGGTGTTTAGAAGCACTCTTATTTGCTGTTCATTTGCCCAAGAAGTGTAGTGTTCTTAGACCTATTTTCTTTCAGGTGTTACAGTAAACTAACAGAAAAGGAAAGAACAAAATGATGTATTTCATAAAGAGTGTCTGAAATGGTTCAGTTGTATGTCTTCATCAAAGATAAGAAATCTACCATTTTTGGACCCCTGAAAAGGAATTTAATAAGAATGTATTAAGATGAATTGAAAATGCTAGAATCATAAAAAGAGCTCTTTTCTTTAAGCAAAGGTATTTTAAAAATGTGGAATACTGTATTATTTTTAAAATCTGGGCTTTCTAACATTTTCCTTAGCTTCTCTGAATGTGTGAATGCCATTTATATAAAGGGAATTCCCTTTTCTTGCATTTCCTTAGCAGCTAGCAAATTACTGAGGAATATAGTTCTTCTTACAAATAGCAATACCATTTATTGATTTAGAGTAAATGTCACTAACCTCCATTGGATAATGTTGATTATGTTTTGGACAATTATTCTTACCAACCTGCACAATTTTATCTGAAAATGTTATTTTTTTCACCTGTATGTATGATCCATTCCTTATGAAAATGTACATTTGCCTTAAATTATCTTTTCTCATACGGTTTTACATTTTCTATTTTAATGTATAGCTGTCATACCTGGGCTGCATGAATCTAGATGACCACTGGATGGAAACAAAGATATGCAGGAAACTTCAATGCACTGCCATCTTGTGGCTATCTGAATCTAGGTGTGGTGACCCTACTTAAATGAGGAGGAGGAGAATACTTGGTGCTCTCTGAGTTTGGTTATTTTCTTGAGACATTACCCAAACTATGTAACATCATCAGTGCTAGTAGAGAGTGAGGTTTGTTCTTGTTTCATATTGTAGTATTTGGCCCTGTCAGTGACTGGGACTGGTCAGTGGTTCGTTGGTTGGGCTGTTTACTGTTAAGCTTGTTTGGTAGTTTCTTGGTTGGGGTATTATTTGCTGTTTGATTACATATAATCAAACTAATTACATTACATATAATTAGTCTAATGTTAATCTTGGTGTTAATCTCTGCCCATCTGGGTGTTTGATTACTGGTGAGGAGATGTTCTGGCCTAGCATAGTGCAGACTAGCAGAGTGTGTCCATGAACACCAACTAGCAGTCAGAAGAAATGATGAAACTATAGTTTCGGTGGTGGGCTTCACATAATTTAACAACTGGTTCTCTGCCGGTTGCTGGGTGGGCATGGCCATGGTGGGCATGGCCTAGTCGGCCTGCACCATACTGGGAGCGAAAACGGTCTGTGGAGGGCCCATTTTCCACCTCCCCGGGCTCCGGGGGTTTTGTTTTCCACCTTCCCAGGCTCTGGAGGCTCTCTGGAGGTCAGAAATGGGTCCATTTTTTCCCTCCATGAGCTCTGGGAGGCCTGTTTTCCACCTCCCCGGGCTCCATGTGCCCCCTACACCTGCCTGGGATCAAAAATGGGCCACATGGGGACTCTTGGGAGCGGCAGGGAGGGGCGAGGCCAGCCGGTCATCGGAACTACTGGTTCGCTGAACCGGACGTAAAATTAACATCCAGTTCACTTGAACCAGCTGAAGCCCACCCCTGCATAGTTTCAACTGAGAAACTGACCATCCTTGACCAAGCCAAGTCCCCAAAACACTAGAGAATTCCTGGAAGCCTGACACTCTGACAAGTCAGCCATCAACAGGCCCATAGACATAAACAACTTCTTTTTACCATTCAAAAGAAACAATCAACAAGCCAAAGTGAGAACAAAAAGACCAGAACACATCCTTTTCAGAGTCAATATCCAGATGAACAGAGATTAACACCAAGATTAACATTGGGCTAAGAATTAAGAATCAAACTATACCTCAATCAAGGAAATGCCAAACAAGCTAACAGTAAACAGCCCAACCAAAGAGCCAACAAGAACACTCCCACCAACACTCATAAGGCAAGCCACTAGAGCAGGTGTGTCAAACTCGATTTCATTGATGGCCACATCAGGGTTGTGTTTGACCTTGGGGGCATTTGTCAGCATGACATCACTTGTGTTGGGGTGTGTGTTCCTGTGGTGACCTGAGTGCTCTGTCAGTGAGAACGGGCTTCCAAGCTCCGTTTTCAGCTGGGATGGCCTCCTGCAACCATCTGCCAGCGAAAACGGAGCTTGGAAGGACCACGCATGGTGGTCATAAGCTCTATTTTTGGCTGGGACGGCTTCCTGCAACCCTCTGCCAGCAAAAACATCTCGGGAGGGCCTCATATGGCCCTCCTGAGCTCTGTTTTCACTGGCAGAGGTACTGTGGGCCAGTCCTTAACTATTTCCAGGTCAGCCCACAGGGCAGATCTAAACACCCTGCTGGACGGATTCGGGCCCCGGGCCTTGAGTTTGACACCCCTGCACTAGAATATAAAATGAAAGCAAACCTCACTCACCACTAGCACTGATTATGTAACCTAGTTTGGGTAATGAAATGTCTGCAAGAAAACAACCCAAGCTCAGTGTCCATAAGGATCCCTTAAATGTCAATGGATGCAGGAAAAACGGAATGCTACCTAGATAATTTATTTGCAGTTCTGCTTTCTACTGTCTTACGATTATCAGATACACATAATTGAAATTTGAATTATGAATACAGGAAACTCCCTGGTAATTGGACTAACCAGGAATATATGTTGAGTGAATGTTGTTCCTGTCTTTTTTTTTTTTTAATGTACCAAAGGTTAAACTTAGTCTATTACTTTGGACACTATCACTGACTTATACTTCATTTTATTATTCTGTACAATTCTTAGTAGCTGCTTATTAACTATATGTATTCTTGCATTGATAAGAACTAATGCAGAATAATAGAATTAATAGAAATCCAGATGCTTAAAAATATTTTCTGTATAGTAAGCAAATGAGAACACTAACACTTTTTTCTAAACCTACCAAGAAGGCAGAAAATACTTTTAATTTCTGCAGAGAAATGTATTACAATGTCAGTGTTTCGGCAATTTAAATAGTGGTCAGTATTTAACATACAGACACTAGAAATGTTCAGAAAG